CGCAAAAAAGCCCCGATTGCCATTTTCGCAATCGGGGCTTTTTTGCAGAAAACAGTACTGTGCTGTTTACACTGGCCCTCTTGCGCAAATAATTTGCACAAGAGGGCTTTTGCCCGAACGGGAGCAGCACAGTATTTCCGCAAGAACACTGATGATCTTACATGAGATCGTTAGCGTTCTTGCAGAAATTCAAGTGGCCAGTGTAGACAGCTGGCAAGTTTTTCCGCAAAAATCAGATGATTTTGCGGAAAAACTTGCCAGTCTAGACACAGCCCAGAAGTCATAGCTACATTCAAATCAGTTCTCTTTTTTGAGATTCTAAAAGAAACCAAAATTCAATGACTATGAAAAAAGTCCTTGCAACTTTTAAAAACATCTGAGAGCTTTCCAGGCAACAGGGAGGAATTTAAGGCTAATCAAAATCGAAAACACCCAAATTCTTCATACAGGTTTCTTGGTCCAGTTCCCTCAGATTGCTTTGCATTCCATCAGAAGATGACTCTTACTGGTTGCTTAAAAATTTGCCCTTCATTTGCGGGAAAATCCAAAAGGTGGCAAACAAACAGGAAACAATGTCCTACCTCTCATATCTGAGGAAGACGTTATTTAAATCATCATTCACATGCAGCAGTTCCTCCGTGACTTCTTCATTGGACACTCGGGAGATAAGTTCCACAATTCTCTGTTGCATAGCTCGACAGGTTCGGTTCAGTTCCTAAGGAAAGAAATTGCACACACATATATTACGATCTCCAGTGAAGAACAAGTATATTTGCTTGAGCCCTGTATGCAGCCATATACATCACTGGCTCAGCAGTCTTCATCCACTGGAAAACAGCAACACAACATGGATTATGGAAGAGCAAATGCTACCCAAGAGAACACACATTCCAAAAGGACCATGGCCTGAAACTATGAGGGCCTATTTATGACTCCATGGACAGGTTTTTCTTGAATCAAACTATCATAATCAGGAGTGCTAACAAGCACCTGGTGACTAAAGGGTTAACTCAGGTACCTGGCAAAGGTGTGGGGCAGACAGCCAATAACAATACAGATAGGAATTTCAAACTGGGAAAGAAGGGTTTTTCTCTCTCTCGCCTTTGTTTGGGATCAGAAGAGTTTCTCCCAGGGTTTGAGGGAGATGCTTCTCTCTCCAAGAACGGACACTTAAAATGTGTAAGTAGGGAAAAGTTTAGGTAGTCCATCAGGGTTTATTGTTTTCCTTCTTCGGGGGGGGGGGGGGGGTTGGAAATCATGTCTGAGCTTGCTAATTGGCTTTTTTCTCTTTTGTAACTAAGCATTACAGCCCAGGAGTTTTCCCTGAGTATCTATATCATATGGTGGTTCTTTCCAACTAGCCAATGTACTATGCTTACAACTGTAGTTTTGTTTTGATAATAAAAGATTGGGTCCCCCCCCCAATTAACTGGTATTGGTTGATTGTTGTGTCCGTAAGACTCAGAGCTTAGTTAAAAGGGCAGAGTCCATTGTTGTCTGTGGATTCCCTCTGTTTTTCCCAACTCCAAGCAAAACGGAGGTAGGGGCAGGGAGGAGAGCTTTACCTTAGGGAGGGATTTCCCAAGTGATCTCTTCCCTGATTTTCTTGGAATTACTTGGGTGGTGGCAGCGGGTCCCCCAGAATCTGGGTATTAGGATTTTTTTGGGGGGAGGAGGGGAGGGAGTTTTTATACCAGAGTCTGTAGATGTAGAGGCAAGGTTTTGGAGTGCTCTTGCGTGCCCCCAACATCTGCATTTATAGTGTCAGAGCAGGGAACAGTCTTATCACATATGTGGCAAAGATTTTAACAATTATATACCTATGGATTAATTTCATAAATACTTTTTGAATATTTATACATACTACAGCTAGCCCTCCAAGAATGGAGACATGCAGGCTTTCTGCCTAGCAGCACAAAGCACCAAAAAAGTATTGTGCTGTGAGGTTTGGGAACCTGGTATTTGGTATCAGTGATTACTTATATTTGCCTCTGGTTTGGCTCAACACAGGGAAAAAGAAACACCCCAGCAGCTGGGAAAATGGAGGCACACAGCACAAAGTGCGAACACGTAAATGGCAACCAACAAGAGCTACACAGTTTGCTGAACGAGAGGCAGACACATTCTGGATAGTACAAGGGATATCAAAATGCATTTAGTTAAATAATCGTGTAACCGGTGAAAATTTTCAGTGGTTACACAGTTACACACAGAGGGCCAGCAGCTCCTGCCTGCCACCCAGCACTGCTGCCTCGGATACAGAGGCAGCAGCATTGGGCGGAGGAGGCTGCGTGTAGCCATGCATGTTTACTGATGAGCCTTGGCCCATTGGTTAACCATGTACATGGTTACACTTTCACGTCCCTAGATAGCAGTATTACATAGCACCAAACAGGAGAATCTCATCACAGTCGCTGTGTCCACTGATAAGATATAACCCAGGGCACTGAATGCTTAAGGAGAGAACCTTACAGGCTAGGCTGCATAGATGTGTGCATTGCAGAAGTCTTTCACCCCAAGGGATAGGAGTTCAAGTCTGCCTTAATTAGGTGACCTCATGCTTCCCGCCCCACCTCCATTCAATGGGCAGATTCTTTCAGCTCTGCTCTGGCAGTTGCAGGGGGCAAAGGGTATGGACCAGAAGTTAAAACTGACGTGTCAGCAGAGCTGTCTCTCACCACTGGGGAGGCCCCCATTTTACTCCAGTGAGCATAAGCTTTTCACCCACATCATGCCCCACTTCTTCGCCCCATCCTTCCCCAGAGAGGAAATTCAGCACTAAGCAAGGGTGACTTGTTGGTACATAACCTTTGGGATGAAAGCAGAACGTGTTTGTTTTCCTCCCCGGCGCTGACATTCTAAGCTGTGGATAAATTTCACGTCAGGCAAGCCAGCTGCCTGAACAGCTTGAGGAACATGTTCTCCAATGTCAGTTTTGATCCCGTCACTTTCGAAGCAGATTGTGACATTTCAGAGGTTTGCTTGCTGCCTTAGTGGACAGGGCTGACAGCCCCTATCTGTTCTACTCAGACCTGATTCTTGGGCAAGCGGTTTACATTTAATTGTAAAGGAAAATGTCATGAATTATTTAAAGCCGCACGACTAGAGGAAACTTCCAAGTGAGATAGCTCTTCCTGTGTAAGTATCCAGGTCACACCTTTCCACTGCTAAGAGTCAGAAATAGCCTCTCTCCTTGGTGACCCAAATTTAGGCTGCATCAGCTGGAGTGAACCAGTCCGAAGGAAGAATTGCCACTGTCACACTGCACTGTGTGATCATTTCTCTAACCTCAGGGCTAGAAAGAGATGACTCGGGGTCAGGATTTTCATGGTTGTTGATAAATGTAAACAAATGGTTCTGTGCTGTTTTGGTCTGCCCTGGTCTCCTGGGAGCGGCTTTTGTTTTCAGCAATCCAATGCAAATGGCTTAGTAGCTGAAAGGCTCTTGATCTATTGCAAAGGCTCTCATCAGCAGCCAACATGGCTCTGAGGCAGCACACACCATGGCCACATGGGAGAGAGCAGATTTTGGACCAACATCAAGATCATGGGCATCACAGAAAGCAATTCCCTGCCTGGCTCCCAACTGTGCTACTCGGGCCCATCCGGCTACTGGCCAAGTGCTGAGACGACAGCCTCCTTTGGAAGAGAAGGCAAGTACAGGAGCTGGAACGTCAGCTCATCAGTTTCTCAGGGCAGAGACCCTATCTACTCCGTTTGTTTGGGGAACCTGTCTGCCTCCAGTTGAGTGCGCTGCCCCAGTATTGCCTTCAGCCATTGCCAGCTCAGGAGCAAGACATGAAGCCTGGGAGATCAACATCATCCCATAAAGTCTGGCTCTTTTAGAATACTGTTGATTCAACATATTCATCGATTTGAAGGTCAGAAGGGGCCATTATAATCATCTAGTCTGAGCTGCTCAGGCAAACCAGAGAACGTCAGTTTCCTACATCAAGCCCACAACTTCTGGTTGAGCTAGAGTGCCATTCAGAAAGAGATGCCCAGTCTGGATTTACAGATTTCAAGTGGTGAAGACTCAAAAGTATCCCGCAATAAAACTGAATCCCTCCTGGAAAAGGATTTGGGGTCTTTTGGCCATTTTACAGATGATCCTGAGTGACTGCGGAAGTACAGATTGCACGGGGCTTCCTCCAGTTTCAATTCTTTGCTGTCGGATGGATCCCAAAAAATTGCAAAGACTTGAGGAACAAGAAAAGTTCACAGAACAGGACTGAAGTTGTCTCGAGCGTTTCATCACATAAGAACGGCCACATGGGGTCAGAACAAAGGTCCCTTTAGCCCGGTATCCTGTTTTCTGACAGTGGCCAAGTGCCCCAGAGGGAATGAACAGAACAGGGAATTATCAAGTAGTCCATTCTCTGTCGCTCGTTCCCAGCTTCTGGGAAACAGACACAAGGGATGCTATTCCTGCCCATTGTGTCTTCCAGGAATTCATCTAGTTCTTTTTAAAACCCTGTTACAGTCTTGGCCTTCACAACATCCTCTGGCAAAGAGTTCTGCCGTTGGACTGTATGTTGCATGAAGACATCCTTTTGTTTTAAACCTGCTACCTGTTAACTGCATTTGGTGACTCCTAGTTCTTGTGTTGCGAGAAGTAAATAGCACTTCCTTATCTACCTTTTCTACACCAGTCATGATTTTATAGACCTCCATCATATCCACCCCTTAGTCATCTCTTTTCCCAGCTGAAAAGTCCCAGTCTTGTTAATTTCCCCTCATATGGAAGCCATTCCATACCCCGAATCATTTTTGTTGCTCTTTTCTGCAGCTTTTCCAATCCCAGTATATCTTTTTTGAGATGGGGTGACGACATCGGCACACAGTATTCAAGATGTGGGCATACCGTGGACTTATATTTTCTGTCTTCTTATTTCTTCCTAACATTTTATTAGCTTTCTGACTGCCGCCGCGCATTGGAGTGGACGTTTTCAGAGAACTATCCACAATGGTGTCGAGATCTCTCTCGAATGATGACAGCTAATTCAGAAACCCATCATTTTACATGAAAAATTGGGATGATGTTTTCCAATGTGCATGACTTTGCATTTATCAACATGAAATTTCATCTGCCATTTTGTTGCCTAGTCATCCAATTTTGAGAGAGACTTTTGTAGCTCTTCTCAGTCTGGGAAAAATCACATAGCCTGATTGTACAGTGACATTCAAAAAGCATGATTATTGCTCCATTAAGGGATCTTAGACACAAACACGAGCCCAATACGCAACCAGGCAAACAAGGAAATTAAGTGGAATATAGGAAAAGGAAATCCCATTGTATTAGGCTGCAGGAAAAGATTTGCTGGAAAACACACTTACCTGTAGTAACTCAAGGTCTGATGAATCCTCCTGGCCAGGAACCATTTCTGTTAACATTTCAGACATCACATTCGTATTTCCACGAACAATATCCAGTTCACTGCGCAGGCGGGCGATCTGTTTTTGGGGAGGAGGGAAAGCCATGGCTGTATTACTTTTCGGTGTTAAAGAGAATGTGGTTAAGAACTGGCTCTGCATCTCCCTTGCTGCAGCAATTTGACTTGGTAACTGTACATCTGATGCTTGTCACTGGACATCACAAAGGGACTAGAGGCTGCTATATCTCATCATAAAAAGAACGCATTACAGACTAGCGCGGCTACCCTGTAGATTCCTCCCCATCATAAATAGGATTACTCTAGATAAATAAAATTTTAGACCGGTAATGAAGAAAGAATCTACAAAGGACTATTCACAGGTTTGGCAGAAGTCAAAATTTTGTTTTCTCTAATTTCAATGATTAATACTTAGTTTTATAGAAAAGTGATAGAGAGGTAGCCGTGTTAGTCTGATCTTGGTGAAAAAAATATGCAGCACTTTAAAGACTAACAAGATAGTTTATTCGGTGATGAGCTTTCGTAGGGCAGACCCACTTCTTCAGATCATATTCTGAAAGTGAATTGGCAAGTCTTTAAAGTGCTACATATTTTTTCCTTTAGTTTTAGAGAAGACTTTTAAAATGTTTAACCATTGTTATTTTTACAGTTGCTGGAAATTAAGGGAGTGGCAGGGCTGGCATTATGGCAGCACTGATAGCAGGGCTGCAGAGGGCTCCCTGTGCTGCCTGAGAGCTGGTGACATCAAATCTCTGCAGGCCCAAGGTATGGGGAAAGCGATGGTCCTGATGGGACAGAACAGAGACCCCTAGCCAGGGCCGCGAGGATGACTACGAGTTCTACCGGAGGATGGAGCCATACAGCAGCAAAGTGGCCTCTGCAGTGGCCAAGGAGAACGCCTCCTTACAGTCTTAGCCTGGAGGTCTCTGTTCTTCTGAGTCAGGACAGCAGACTTCCCAGCACCTTGCACCTGCACAGTCTGCATACACTGCTCCGCTGCTACAGCCTCACTCCTGTGATTGCAGAGGGCTCCCTGCATTGCTGCAGAGCTGGTGACATCCACTGTCTGCAGGCGCACCGACTGTGACCAATTGATTTTCCTTTTTTGGGGGGGTCGATTTCAGTGTCAGCTGAAATTGACGTTTCCTGACCTTTGTCAATTGAAATTAAATCCTGCCAAGCTTGGTTATTCATCACCATGACAAAGCCAGCGGTGCTAGCACTCAGAGGGAAACATGGAAGAAAACAAGAAGTGCGGCTTAAACAAACAGAATTATGCTACCAAATATTAGGTTCTTCTCTCAAAATGCATACAGATGAGGGAGAAGGAGGCATGACCTCCTGATTAGGGCATTTCTGCTTTGCAGTTGTATTCACTGTATCTCAGAGGATGGATGGGCCAGCAGTTAGGGTGCTGACTAGGAAGTGCTCAGCACTGGTTCCTTTTGTGACCTTGGCCAAGTCACTTCAGTCTCTCTGCGCCTCAGCTCCCCATCCATGAGGTGGGAATAGTAAGATTACCTGACACAGCAGGTAGGAGGATGAATATACTGAAGACTGAGCTGCTCAGCTGCTACAGTAATAGGGCTCACAAATGTGTATCTAAGATAGATATGGCTGTAAGAAAACTGCAGCCCACCATGTTGTTGTGGAAACCACAACTTTTTACAGCTGCCACAAATGGGAGTGATGCCATGATCCCCTGCTCCAGGTTGCAATGCCACTCATCCCTTTAGGCCTGCCCCCACCATGGCGGAGGAATGCCTGGGTGTAATTTAAGCAAGTGGCATTGCAAGCTGGTGGGCATTGTCACACCACCACTCAAATTTGGCCCACTCCCCCTGGCTGCCATGCTCGCCTTCACGAGCCAAGCAGGACTCAGGCTGGCTTGGCTGTATGCCTTCAGCTGCAACTTTAATAAATTGTGACCACAATGGACATCAGCAACAGTCATGACTTCCTTGCAGCCTGGAAGACAGATGGATTCTACAGTTCCCAACAGGAGAAATGCTGACTAGACAAATCCAGGTGTTGGCTGCAACTGAACCTTACCATCAGGAACATTAAAACAGAAGGCTATGAGGACAGGCTACCAGGCTGATGTACTGAGCCAAGAGCCTTCATCACCTATTTACTTGCAACAACAAGAATTATAGCCCGGTACCTGTTCAGAATTGGCAGTGATGGGACCAGTCACATTCAGAGGTGGGGCTTGAGGAGCCGAATACGTGGTTGGAGATGGGGAGGAATAGGAACTGGTGCTTGTCCTTTGCTGGGACTGGGATACATGCATATTTGCGGCTGGATCCACTTCAGGAACACTCTGTCACATCAGAAAAACAAAGGGTTCAAATGCTGATGGTTCTTTAGTTTGCATCATAGAATCATAGAGCTGGAAGAGACCTCAGGAGGTCTTCAAGTCCAGCCCCTTGCCCAAGGCAGGACCAATCCCAACTCAATCAACCCAGCCAGGGCTTTGTCAATCCGAGACTTCAACCCTAGGCAATATGCCCCAGCATTGGTGACAGGCCATAGCAGCACCTTCAGGAATAGGTCAGGTTCTGGAGGAAGAGCTGATGTATCCAAGCACAAATGTGGAAAAGCCGTGACAAGCGCTGCTCCTCAGTACTGTCCCAGGTTTTTCCCCCACAAGAAAGGTGAGAAGCAAAAGAAAAACCAGTGTCAGAGAGTTCAAGAAATCTAGCCTAGAAATTAAGTTACAATTTACAAAATCACTTGCTCTACGCCCATTGCAGGGAATGTATTTGGCTGGCACAACCGGAAGTATTTACATTTGAAGCCATATTATGTCATCACTATACGTTTTCACAGTGAACAGCTAGTGATCAGTAAGTTTACTTTCCAGTAGGGATGTAAAAGGTTAACTGGTAAGCATCCCCCTAAACAGGTAAGGCTTACTGGTCCCAGTTAACCGATAACTGATGGGGGCCAGAGCAGCTCCCTGCCTTCTATGGGCAGGAGGTCCACCATGGACAGGAGCTGCTCTCGTCCAGAGAAGCTCATCCACAGCGAGCCCGGATGCCCCACAGGCAGGGGCTGGTCCATCCACGGGGACCCTGAGCCTGTCACAGACAGGGATTGTTCCAGCTGGGACTGGAAGCCAAGAGCTGCCAGGGGCAGTGGCAGCCCTAACCCCAGCCTGGATCCCGAGCAGGGCTGAGGACTGCTCCAGCTGGGATGGAACAGTTGCCTGCCTGGATCCTGCTTAGTCGGTTAACCAGTTAAACCTTAGGCCAACCTGACATTTAACCAGTGAATTGATTAACCGGGATTTTACATCCCTACTTTCCAACAGTAATAGCTAAATTGAGTCTGCAGCCCTGACGTTCAAAGGTGCCGAGTACCTGTGGCTTGCACAAAGTCAATGGGAGCAGTGGTTGTTTAGCACCTTTGAAAGTGGGGGACAGCGACTGGTTTCTCGTGGTGTCCCCCATGAATTGTGTAAAGCCAGGGGAACACCTGGCGTGCATACTAAGCAACCAGGCCTTCTTTGTTCACCTGCCCAAGATTCAGTCAAGGCAATTCTGCCAGATCACCAAAAGAAACAACTGTCCTCTCCAGGGGAGAGATCATTAACTTCCAACAACAGCTCCTGCCAAGGCTGGTGCTGAGCAGATTAGTTACGTTGGCATGGCACTTTGGTGATGCATCGCAATATTCAATACAGCACAAGCGTATAAAACTCCTTCAAGTCATTCTGTTCTTGAGCCGATGTTCATCTCAAGGGAGAGAATTCCAGTAGTTCCGTTGTTGGTCGACCCAGTTCTCTTATTTTTTTTCCATTCCCTTTCATTACTGAAAAGGCCACCCAGGTTTGAAAAGGTTTGGGGCTAGATTAGTAAGTCAACAGTTGAAGAAAGAGCAGAAGTTAAAAGAGTAGGATCTAATTATTCATCTGGAAAATGCAGTACTGAAGCTTACCCTCTGTGGCGTGTGTATTGGAGACAAAGCATCAAGATCTGCCATAGGAAACTCTATCCCTTTCCTTTTGAGTTCTTCATAAATATGCACTACTCCAGTTAGATCGGGGCTACTTCGAAATGCATCTGCCCAAGCCTGGAAAACAACATACAGGATTATTCAGAAAACTTCCACATGATCTGCCAGGACGCTTCCACCTTTTCATCACACAACTCAGATCCAAACCAGAAATGCATTCATGCACTTCAGTCTCAAAGGAGACTTTCAATGTTAGATGTGCTCTGAAAGATTCTGGGTTTCCATCCAGAGGGTCAAGCATCAAACAAGAAATAAGTGGGGATTCACAGTGGATAGCAGTCCCACATAGGCAGAAGTTGTTAATGACACCAAGTTCAAGAAATGTACTCTTAATTCTGTTGGGTGCTACATTCATATTTACCCTCATACTTAACTCTAGACCTACAATAAACTTGGAGACAGAAGCAATTTAAGTAAAATTCCTAAGAAATGTAATAAAAGATGTTACACAAAAAGAGGCAAAGGAAAATCCAAGTGCACACACAAAGGTCTCTTAGGCCATATCCCAAAAGACCAAACTCATTAAAAAGGTGGTCCAAATGGGCTTTTTCACATGACAGATGCCACAGAGTTAAATCAGAGAGCTATTCAGAGAAATTCGGGAAAGAATGGACTAAATTCTCCACAAAAGTCCATAATTCTCCACCACGTAGCCATTTTCTGAAAATATTCTTTGACGGTTTTCACCCCAAAAAAGTGTAATTTCAATCAAAGGCAAAGTAGATTAAAATAAGATTTAACCTATTTTACTTAAACACTTAGAATCTTAGAATACTAGGACTAGAAGGGACCTCGAGAGATCGAGTTCAGTTCCCTGCCCACAAGGTAGGACCCAGTTCTGTCTAGACCACCCCGATAGACATTTATCTAACCTACTCTTAAATATCTCCAGAGATGGGGATTCCACAACCACCCTAGGCAATTTATTCCACTGTTTAACCACCCTGAGAGTTAGGAACTTTTTCCTAATGTCCAACCTAAACCTCCCTTGCTGCAGTTTAAGCCCATTGCTTCTTGTTCTATCCTCAGAAACCAGGAAGAATAAGTTTTCTCCCTCCTCCTTGTGACACCCTTTTAGATACCTGAAAACTGCTATCATGTCCCCCCTCAATCTTCTCTCTTCCAAACTAAACAAGCCCAATTCTTTCAGTCTTCCTTCATAGGTCCTGTTCTCTTGTCCTTTAATCGTTCTTGTTGCTCTTCTCTGAACCTTCTCCAATTTCTCCACATCTTTCTTGAACACCTGTTAATGCATCCCAGAATCATGTTTGCTTTTTTTGCAACAGCATCACACTGCTGAGTCATATTTAGCTTGTGATCCACTATAACCCCTAGATCACTTTCTTCCATACTCCTTCCTAGACAGTTGCTTCCCATTCTGTATGTGTGAAACTGATTGTTCCTTCCTAAGTGGAGCACTTTGCATTTGTCCTTATTAAACTTCACCTTTTTTACCTCAGACCATTTCTTCACTTTGTCTAGATCATTTTGAATTATGGCCCTACCTTCCAAAGTAGTTGCAATCCCTCCAAGCTTGGGATCATCGGCAAACTTAATAAAGTGTACTCTCTATGCCAATATCTAAATCGTTTATGAAAATATTGAACAGAACCGGTCCCAAAACAGACCCCTGCGGAACCGCACTTGTTATACCTTTCCAGCAGGATTGTGAACCATTAATAACAACTCTCTGAATACGGTTATCCAGCTACTTATGCACCCACCTTATAGTAGCCCCAACTAAGTTGTATTTACCTAGTCTATTTATAAGACTATCATGCGAGACCGTATCAAACACCTTAGTAAAGTCTAGGTATACCACATCCACCACTTCTCCCTTATCCGCAAGACTCATTATCCTATTAAAGAAAGCTATCAGATTGGTTTGACATGATTTGTTCTTTACAAATCCATGCTGGCTGTTCCCTATCACCTTGCCACTTTCCAAGTGTTTACAGATGATTTCCTTAATTACTTGCGTTGTTTTTATTTCCCTTTTTATAGACAGGCACTATATTTGCCCTTTTCCAATCTTCTGGAATTCTCCTTCTGGAATCTCCTTCCGCTGATCACATCTAGGAATTTGTATTTAGAACCCTGCACACCTAGGGAAGAATCCATCATTTCTTGCAGTTCTGCTCCCCAACACGATTACAGTAAATTAATTACGTTGATTATTCAGAAGCAATGGGAGGTCTACCAATCCCAGATGAGGAGAACCTATCGCCAACTAATAAGAACCAATCAGGTTTGAAAGATTAGTTTCAAAGAAGCTTCCTTAATTACAGCAGAAGCATCCTTGTTGCAGAAGTAACTATGGTATATAGAATAAGCCCATTTGTTCATATGCCGCCCCCCACCCCACCCCAAGTTTAAAAAATTGTAAAAATTGCCATAACCCCTTCATAAGCTGATTCTATACCGGGAGTTTGCAAACGTCCGGTCCCAGCACATTGGGATGTTTTGTTTACCTGGAGTGTCTACAGACATGGAGCCTCTCAGTTTCCACTGGCTGCTGTTCACTGTTGCCAGCCAGTGGGAGCTGTGGGAAGCAGCATGGGCCAAGGGACGTGCCAGCCGCCACTTTGCACCACTCCTGTTGACGGGAATGGTGAACAGCAGCCACTGGAAACTGAGGGTCTCCAGGCCTGCAAACACTTCAAGTACATAAAACATCCCGGCATGCCAACAGTTTGCCCTGCTGTGCCCCCCCCCCCCCCAAAATATTATTAAAAAAAAAAAAAAGAGCAGTGGCCTGTTCATAAGCCAAATTTCCACTCTTTACTGCATCATTTTTTACTACAAAAATTCAGATTATGATGGAGTATAAACAGTATTCTTGCACTGTCTTAATGTTTGTAATTGACACTAGGGACAGTTCAAACCCATTTCTATAGAACAGCATTTTCCACACTGCCTTTCTATTGCCTATTAACAGATAGAGTGACGCTGCAGTGAGACCAAGTGTAGCCACTGCACAGAACTCAAAATCAGCGAGCTCACATCACCCTCACTTCTGTGACTTGCTACTCTTCTCCCTTCTAATCTGGCCTTTCCTTTGTAACTCTCCACCCCTGCAGAAGGGAGTCCCACCGCCACTGCTCCCCCCCCCCCCCCCGGAGCCGCCACGCTCAGTATCTCCGCTCTCACCCACCAACTGGGCAGAAGGGACTTTGATTCACCCCATATCCAAATAGCTAAGCCACTTAACACCGATTTCCAAAAGGTGCCATGTGGCGTAGTGCAGGCCCTACCCCTGCTAAATTTGGATTTGTGAGCTCCTGACCCAAACAGTTTCAGCTGACTGAAAATATGAGCAAATTAAAAATGGGGTGAAATGAGTTGTGAGAGCCCATGGTTATGGTCAATTTAGTACAATATTATTTAATTCCTGAATTTAACTAACTAACTAACTAAACTAACACACCCAACCCAACCCAACCCAAAATAAAATGAAATAAAATAAAATAAAATCACACCCAACCCAACCCAAAATAAAATAAAATAAAATAAAAACAAAATAAAATAAAATAAAATAAAAATAAAATAAAATAAAACAAAATAAAGGACTGAGTTTCAGGAGTAAGCAAGAGAATGTAGGCAGAAGCCCAGCAACAGAGTGAAGGTCGTCCAGTGTATTACATCCAATGCAGCCGGTACGATTACCTGCCCTATGGACAGGTGGGGTGTGTGTGCATTTGACATAAGGAGCTCCTGCCCCTTAGAGACTGTACCTGGGCTTTGGAGAGGATTGGCTGGACTGGAGGACATCAGGAAGACAGAGCTGTGACTTTTCAGGACACTGCAGAATGGTGCCACCCCTATCTAGTCTGATGTGCTCTGGGCTGTTGAGGAGGATGAACATCTCAAGGAAGGAGAACCACCAACTGGAGTGGAAAGAAATGATCCCATAGTTGGGACTCTCCTTTCTCTCTCTGTGGTGTTCTCTTGCACTGAGAGTACCTCTCTGGGTGTGGAAACTCCAGTTGTTAGCGAGAGACAAGTAATGGTTATGCTGGATTGGATCATTAGAAATGTAGACAGCTGGGTTTGTGGTAACTGGGAGAACCACTTAGGCTCACCAACAGCAGGGGGCAAAAGGGCCAACTTGTCCCTGGGACCAGCAATTCAAAAGGGCCCAGGTTCCCCAGCTATTACTTCTTCAGCAGAGGTGGCAGCCGAAGTCCCAGGCCCTTTAAATCGCCACCGGAACCCTGTGCCAGCCCAAGGCCCCGCCTCTTCCAGGAGCATGGAGTCCCCCTCCTTGCCCAGGGGTCCGGCAATTCTGTGAGCCCCCCTGTGCATGGGAACTTGCTTGCCTGGTATAAAGGCTGTGGATCTCAAGACATCTAGGTAGACTTATCTGAAGTGCTGGGGAGGAGCTGGTGGTCGTGGTGCATGTAAGTACTAATGACAAAGGGAAGGACAGGAGAGATGTCCTGGAGGCCAAATTTAGACTTCTAGGTGAGAGACTGAAGTCCAGGAACTCTATGGCAGCATGCTCTGAGATTCTTCCAGTTCCTTGCACAGGGCCAGGAAGACAAGCAGTATTGCAGGGTCGCAATGTGTGGATCACACAATGGTGCAGAGAGGAAGCGTTTAGCTGTATTAGAAACTGGGGAAACTTTTGGAAAAGGGGAAGCCTATAGAGGAAGGATGAGCTCTGTCTAAACCAAAATAGAACCAGACTGCTGGCACTTAAAAAGATCATAGACCAGTTTTGAAACCAAGAGCTGGGGGAAAGCAGACAGGTGCAAAAGAGCACGTGATTTAGACAGAGTGGATAGAAAGTGATAAAATATAGATAGGATCTGATCAGGAATAGTCAAATGAAAGAGTCTCGTTCAACTACGTCATGTAATGGCAGATTGCTGACAGGACACTAGGCTACATGGAACTTTGGTCTGACCCTGCATAGCCAGTCTCATGTTCTTATTTGTATTACTACCACCAAGAGCATCCAGGTAAGGTATTCCCAGTACTGACAGGGATAGTTAATGTACTACGGACAATACTGTTAATGCCACTATACAAAGCACTGAGAAGAACTCCTCTGGAATACTGTATATAATGTTGGTCACCCATACTCAAGAAAGATGGATTCAAACTGTAACAGCTTCAGAGCGGGGCTAGATGGATAATCAGGGGAATGGAAAGCCAATTTATGGAAGGAAACTAAAACAGCTTGGCTTGTTGAGCCTCGCAAAATGAAGGGTGACATATACACCAGGCCAGGAGAAGAGGTATTTAAGCTAAAGAACAATGTTGGCACAAGAATAAATTCAGCTTAGAAGTTGGTTTCTGGCAATCAGAGGAGAAAAGCTCTGGAAAAGCTTCCCAAAAGATGTAAACAGCCTAGCCAGTTTTAAGATGGAGAGACAAAGTCACCGCCCAATTCGCAGCAATCCACCCTCAGGAAAGACACGGGAATAGATCAACTCAGATTGCTTCAGAGGTTTGCACAGCACATTCCCATTCTTACAGCTTACACTATCAGGCCTCACTTCTATAGGCATTAAAATTCCCATGACTGCCAACTTTTCTCCAGTACCCATGTTTCTTCATGCAGTTCTAATGGGACATGAAATTAGCATGGCTTTGTTTACTTTTTGTGCAACACACAAATAAGTGCACATCTAACTTTCCCCACTTCGGGAAAGGAGCTGACAGTTCAGGAAACAGTATGAGAATGAACTGCGACTGCAGAGCAAGCAGAGGGAATGCAAAAGACACCATTTTAGGCTTTGTATAATACTTTGACATCTTTTGATGAATGTCACTTACAGAAGTCCAAAGGACTTAGTCAAGATGGAAAAGTAGTCCCACTTTCAGACAGGGAAATGGAGCAGGGAGATATTAAGAAACAGCTCTTGCATCATGTAAAAAAAAAATCTGGATTTTTTTCATTTATTTCAGTGAGAGCAGAATGTGCTGCTAAAATGACTGGTCTCTCAAGCACTGAGTCAATTAGGGTTGGAAGCCAAATATAGGTCACCAACTTCTAGCTCATTCGTGTAGCCATGAGCTGTGCTGCTGCCTTCCATTTATTAACTATCAAAAAAAGCCCCAGTGATTACCAAAGTGGTGACTTTAAAAAATCGTGTGCATTCAGCATTGAGAAGACATTTTTCTTTAGGTAACTTCTGCCCCTAAACTTCATATATTAGTGTCTCCAATTTCATTGGGGGTTTGCCATTTGTTTTGAACAAAACCTGTTCATTATACGTTTAAAACCAACACCGTCCTCAGCACTGTAGCACACTCAGAGACACAGCCCTCATCTCAGAGAGGGCGTACAGAACTGAAGAGCTAACTTGCATACCTGAATCAGGGCTAGAACTTTATCCTGTACAATGGTGGGAGGATTGTTCTTGGGGGAGATGATTTTCACCAGAACACCATCTATGAAGTCCCGGTTTGCCACTAGGACATGGAAGCGATGGCCACAGTTTTTCACACAGGTCTCCAATACCTACATAAGAAACACAAAGAACCTCTGGTGGAACAAAGCTTCATCACGTCCACAACAGGAAGAGTCGTCCTTGTACAAAGTGTCTGCACTGGGGCATGAGGGCAGGGGAAGAGAAGGCTTAGTACTTGCTCGTTTCTTTCCCCTGCACTCCCCAGCAGTACCCCTACAGAGCTTCCTCCTCAACATACAAATGAATTCCTAGGGTTGTATGTACAGTCAGCTTTACCAGGAACCACGCAAACCAGTCAATTTGTTAATAGCCAAAGTGTAGCCAATTTCCTTTAGCTGTACCCTGATATTTAATTAGATCAAACATGCAGCCCCCTCTCATACTTTTCACTAGTAATTTTGGACCTTTGCTTTCAGACATTAGCCAGTGAGGGGTGGTCCAGACACTATCACTAGAAATAACGCCTTCGGCATCAAAAGGTACTGACAAAACGTGATTCATATTCAGGGTTTTTTCCTTTCCTGATATCTTTTGTCTTGTGATAAATCACTAATATTAACCCCCCTCCCCTCCCCCGAGGCTTTTGTGATCCAACTTTTCTTGTTGTCAGGATGAAGAAATAACATTTCTGCCACTTTCACTGAAGTTTGCTCACTTACGTTGTTGGTGTACCAAGCTTCAGCACACTGGGTGTTATAGCAAGAACATGTCAAATTAATATCCTGTCATAGGGCCAGACTTAGACACACCCATTTTCCACACTTCTGAAGTGTGATTGAACTAGGACACCCCATGTTACAGAGTTTTACATGTGGATTATGCCAACTTATCTTCAATCCTTCAAACCCCTCTGCTTTTGCAATCTTTGCCAATGTATGCCTCAATACACATTGCCCCCAAAATGTATTTGGAATCACTTGGACATTCAGTTGCCATGGAACAGCAGCTAGTGACAGTTTTCTAAGAACATGACACACGTGGAAATACATATAATATACAGCGTTTACATGTAACTATGGCTAATAATTGCCATGACCCCATAGCTGACAAGCTTCTGCTCTAGCTGATGTCCTCACACCTGATGACATGGGCTGATGCCTGCAAATCCAATGAGATTTCAGGTTCTGTTCAAGACAAGGTATAATTCCATATGCGCACTGTGATGGACACAGCTGTCTCATTTTACTCTTTGGGACGCTAGCACCTTATTTTGATTTTCTCCAACAAAACCCTTAACTGGCAGCTAGCAGAAAGACAACCCAGGGCAGAATGTGGCCATGAAGACACAAAGGTAACAATGGATTAGTGCAAGAATGCTTCACTTCCAGAGACTTTTGAGTCAAAGCCAGTTATTGCAAGAGTGAAAAAGAATTTAGAACAGTCATCTTCATACAAGTGACAACACCACACCGTTCAGTACAGCTGGCAGCCACTTATGCTGAGGAGGGAGTAGCATAGGAGATAGTAAGGGAGGATTGAAGTGCGGGGGAAATGCATTCAGATCATCTGCCCACAATGTTATGCCTTGATATAATCGGTATTTGTCCATTACATTGAGGAAATGCATGGAAACCCACCAACACACATTCTGAAACGGCACATCACCCACTTGGCCCTTTTCAACCAGCAGCCTTGCTGACATGATTGGCAGGAAAGGTCACCGCTAGATTACCTCACACTGTAGTGAGGCTGTGTAAATGCACAATGCTTCCTGTTTCTGATATACTCATAAAAAAATTACTACACTTGAACCTCTTTAATCTGGCGACCTTGGGAAATAGGCTATGCTGGATTGTGGAATTTTCCAGACCATGGGTGTTCGCTATAATACAGGCCGGCTGAAGGGGGGAGGGGAGCATTTACCCCAGGCATGGCCATTCAAAGGGGCCCAGAGCTCTTGGCTGCCACCATTGCTAATGCAGCACCTGGAGCCCCGGGCCCCTTTGAACTGCAATAGATGTGCAAGATCACCATGCCACGTGGCTTTGAGGGCTGGGAGCCCTAGTGCCACAGTCTGGACTGCACCAAGGGCTGAATGCTTTGAGCCCCACCCCTTCTGGGACATAGAGCCAGACTCCCCCATCTTGCCCTGAGGCATGCAGCGGCTATTGGCCCTGCTGCCATAATAAAGGGTAAACAATATCTATTACTAAAGCTTTTGTATGTACAAATCATTATAAAGTATTGTACATGTATCACATGTCATAAGATACATCCTTAATGCACTGTATTTAAACTGTTTTTCTGTTTTATTAATATATGTAGGTAATTAAGCAGAAAACCACTAATTGTACACTACAATGCTCTAACATTTTACATGTTAAATTTGTGCCAGACAGTACAATAGGTATACTTTATTTTGTTGCATTATATTTAACTTATTTTGTTTTTATCCTCATGTAGATACAATAAACAGAAAACCAATACTGTAAAATTGTACGTTACAATGCTCTGCCACAGCTCTTGTTTACAAGTTAAATTTGTGCCAACAGAATGTATACTTTTTGTTCTAAAGGTGAAAATAAGAACATTTTGCAAAGTACTGAATTTTTATTTAAAATGTAACACAGCAATACAAACAACAGAAATACTTATCTGTAGACATGTAAACTGTTAAATACAGTACAAATGAAATGAATTAAAATACACTTGAGTAAAGTACTGTATTTACATATGGTAAGATCTGACAGTAAAAACAGATTAGTGTTTCATAAAGAGTGATGTTTCATACAGAAATTGTGCTTGGCTACAATACAAATGAAATTGATAAAAAATACACTTCAGTACAATACTAAATGTACTACACAGTAAATAAAAATAGGCTAATATTGTACAGCAATTTTATACCGAACTTGTGCTAGGCATTTCATCATCAATAGCCGAGGATGAAGCTTCTGGAATATTCGGCACTTCACGTGTTTCACTTACATTCTTGAACATGTCTATCCACTGTGGCTGTTTCATATATTTTTGTTTTTCACGTATTAGCTGACTTTGAATTATGTGAATATTCATAATCTGCTGTTCACTTATGAAATTATGTTGCTCAAGGCCAGCTATTAGGCGAGTTGTAAGTCTGATGCATTCATCAAGTGAAATTCTTTCTTCAGCCATTATGTGGTTTTCTTCTGCTTCGCTGTTATTTTCAAATTTATCCTTATTCTTCCTCATTTCCAAAATTTCCTCATCAGTAAAAAGATGGATAACAGGAAAATCTTTGTCAGCATCAAGCCACTCCTCAACATTTTCTGCATTTAATTCTTTTAAATCAGGGTTAGTAATACTTCTCGCATATTCAACCAATTCATTCACCAGCAGTTTCTCATGCGAGATACGGAATCCTGTGAAGTCACCCATCTCACTGTTACCTTCATCTTCAAACATTAATTCTGGCCAAAGCTTATACCATGCCTTCTTCAAAATTGATCTTGGAATACTGTCCCAAGCATGCGCAAGTCCCCAAATTACATCCTTCAAATTATATTCCATACGAATTTCAACCACTGATTTATTACAATTACCATGTATGTCACTCAAGAATTTACGCAAAAACTCCGATCGATATCGGCACGTCAGGGAGCGTAATATACCCTGACCCTGGGGATGAAGTATTGAAGTACAGTTAGGAGGTAGGAAAAGCACAAAGACATCATCTTTCACTAAAGTGTCTGCACTGGGGTAGGCTGAACAATTGTCCAAAATAAGTAAAATCTTGCAATTTGGGTCCAACCCTAGACTACTGCAATGTTGACGAGCTTGTGGCACAAACGTTTTTTCAAACCAGTCCCTTAATATCTGTCCAGTGATCGAGCCATTTTTGCTTGCTCTGTATTCCACAGGAAACACTTTAATGCCACTGAATGCTCTTGGACGCAAGCTTTTTCCAATCACCAACAACTTTATCTTATGCGTTCCAGCCGCATTCCAGGAACCTAACACAGTCACTCGTTCCTTCAATTCCTTCATTCCACTATGAATATTGTTTCCAGTAGCCAAAGTTTTCTTGGGTATGCAACTCCAACATAACGCTGTTTCATCTGCATTATACACTTGTTCGGGACTTAGTTTTTCATTCACCACTAACTTTGAAAATTCTTCAATAAACTTTTCGGCTGCTTCTTGATCGGTGGAAAGTCTTTCAGCAGCTGCACTGTGGAGAGTGATACCGTGCCGTCTCTTGAATTTGTGAAGCCATCCTTGGGAATACTCACATTCAAAAGGAAGCTGAAGTTGCCTATGGAATACTTTTGCTTGTTCCATAAGCATTGGACCAGAAACGTTAAGTCCTTCGCTTCGTCGTAGCCGAAACCACTGAATTAGCTCTGTATCAAGATCAACACTTTTCCCTTCTTTCATTGTTCTACGGTTTTCCATGCCTTTCCTTGACTCACATCCTGCATAAAATTTGCACAGTTGCTTTTTTTGCTTTTTAATATCGTAGACAGTAGATGACCCGACACCATAAAACTTGCACAAGTTCTTTACTGATGCACCAGCATCCAGCTTCTTGAGTAAATCCACCTTCTCCTGTATTGTAAGCGTTTTGTGACGTCGCTTCGCAGCTCCACCATCACTTTGCATTTTAAGTTGATGCTTACTGGCCATGATGAGGGTATATTACAGGATGTTGAAATGCTGTGAAGGTAATAATGCTGTACGTCAGGGGTAGGGAACCTTTTTTGGGTTGGGGCCACTGATCCACAGAAAAAAATCAGTCGGGGGCCACACACAAGATAGGGGTCAGGGAAGGAGGGAGGGTGCAGGAACAGGGTTGGGGTGTGTGGTCTGGGAGAGAGGGAGCTAGGGTGCAGGAGCGCACAGGGGAGGTGCGGGATCTGGAAGGGAGGATGAAGGAGCATTCAGGATGTGGGGTCAGGGAGGGTGCATGAGGGGGATGGGGATGTGGAGGTCTGGGCATGAGGGGTGGGGCGCTTACCTGGTGTCCCGCTCCCGGGGGCACATGTGGCTCAGCGCCCCTTGCCACTCCCAGGCACTGCCCCGCACTGCTCCCATTGACCATGACTCACGGCCAAATGGAGCAGTGGGGGAAAAGCCTCCAGACAAGTGCTTTACTGTGCTGCCATTTCCCCAGCCAGTGAGGGGAGAGCAGGGAAGAGGGAGAGCGCACAGAGCTGCTTCCTCCTCCCCATGCCAGGCAGAACCCACAGCTTGCCTGGATCTGGCCCATGAGGCTCAGGGCTCCCCTCCCCTGGCAGCAGGGAGCTGGCACTGGCACTCCAGCCATGCAGGTTCTGAATCTCAGGTGTTTCTGGATCACAGACACCCGGATTAAGGAGGTTCAAGTGTATTAGTTTTTGTGCCCTTAGCTAGTTATTCTCCAAATTCTTTCTTCATCTGCCTTATACATTTATACTTCACTTGCTGGAGTTTATCCTGCTTTCCCTCACTAGGATTTTACTTCCAATTTTTTGCCTCTGCCTCTTTTGCTTTATTTAGTGACAGCGGCATTTTTAGGGGAGGATCCTCCTCTGTCTTTTTTTATTATTATTTTGGGAATATGTTTAGTTTAAGCCCATTATAGTGTTTTTAAATAGATCTCCATGAGCCCACCCCACTCACCGTTAGAGCCAGCATCACCTCTCTGTAATTTCTGTTTCCATTCAGCCTCTTCTTCAGTGCTCGGATAGCATCCTTTGGACTGAAGGAGAAACAAACACATCAGTTTTACTCCTTGAAGTGGGGAACATGTGTGTTCCCTAACTCTTTCTGACAGGGCAGGAGCACTTACGTTAACTTTAAACAACCTGACTCTGAGCACTGAAAGCCCAACGTGTGAATGCTGACACAAGGGCCATGTATAAATGAGACAGCAAAACTGACAGTCACGAGAATGAGGCCAAAGGCATAACACCATTTAGAACAGGCCTGCTATGCAGCTGAGTGCTGAAGGGGCAGACGACACCAGAGAGGTCCCGCTCTCTCAGAGTTAGAATCTGGTAGCAATGCAGCATTTGGACGCATGGAAATTACAAGCAAGTTTCCTAAAAACACAGGCTCAATTATCCCTAATGTAGCACATTAGTATGCATTTTTTGGATACACCCACGAATTAGATATTGCACCATGAAAATCTAGGGCTGTCGTTTTGATGCTGGGCTCTCCTAATGAATCTCAATCCTGACATGCAACATCTCATGTTATTCTAACCCTCCAACTCTCCTGAGCAGAGGTTGGCACACTAGCAAGTGCCATGAGACATGCCGGTTGTCTGAAGTGGATCAGTGTCAGTTTGGGATGAGGTGTCCAAACAACTCAGCTGCTACCTAAAAATGGGATTTTGGAATCTGTGCATTAACCCACTGCACCACTTAGCATGGTGAAAGACAAAGATGAGTGTCGGTACGACAGCAAAAGATGTGAGCACCCAAGTTATCTGTAACAGCACGTACCCTTCTTCTGTCTCGTTGATAATGTCGCAGATCTCCATGTTAAGTGTCCAGTCTTCACTCTGCAAGGAGCCATCAGTTGCCTTTTCTGTGAAGCCAACACAAAAATCTCTGTCACCACCTCTCCTTGATGAAGTTATTAGAGTTCAACTTATCTTCAGTCTATTACTTTGTTCACAAGTTAAGCACTCCCTATATTAGGAAAGGGTATTTGAAACAGATCTTACACTACTGACTCTAGACCAGTGGTTTAACTAGGGGTCACAACCCAGTACTGTGTTGCTGCAGAGTGATCAGGCGACTGGGGGCGGGGGTGCTAAGACAGGCTACCTGTCTGTTCTGGCACTGCAGATTGCACTGTGCAACAGAAGCAGCAGCCACAAGATTGGCTGCTAGGAGGAGAGGACTCTGCACACTGCCCCTGCCCCCAAGCACTAGCTCAGCACTCCCATTGGTTGGGAACCTGCTGCTGGCTGCTTCTGGGATGCAGCCTGGTCTGTAGCACCAGGAGAGGCAGGAAGGTGCCTTAGCACCCCTGCAGCACTGCTGACCGGGAGCCACTCAATGTACGCCCCTCCTGCCCCAGCCCTGACCCCCCTCCCAAAGCTGGAGCCCCCTCCTACACCCCAAAGCTCTCATCCTCAGCCCTACCCCAGAGCCCACACACTAGTTAAATTATGTTGAGTCACGGGCATCAATAATTTTCTTCAACTGGCTCATGAGAAAAAAAAAAAAGTTTGAGAAATCACTGCTAGACAACATCACACAATTTCCCCCCAATTTAGAGACCAGTCCAAAAGCATCTGGAGCAAAAGTTAGTCCAGCAGGCTGCATTACTCAACATACACCATATCCCCAGACCACAGAAGGACTGTCAGTTAATTCCTGCCCTGTCTTCTCACCTACCATCCTACTTTAGCTCTGATATTTTGATGGAAAAAATGGGTTCATCTTTCAAAGTTCTAATTTACAATATTTTAACACCTCTTTATATCAACTCTCCCTATTCCTGTGGAACAAAAAATAGGACTATGTAGCACTTTAAAGACTAACATTCTATCACTATTCTTGTGGAGTCAGAATTCATATTTTTGTTTCACAGGGAAGACCTGCCTCCTTTTTGTACACTTACATTATTGACACTACTGAGGTGGAAAATGCTTAAATTCCTGCCTTTCCAATTTTGCAGACAGTATCTCTTGAAGGACCTGGAGATGTGATTTGGGAGTGTGCTCAGACCTTAACAGAAGGTAGTGCTGAATCTTTAACAAGAGGTGTTTTCTTCCACCTGTTTGTTGGATGTTTGAATTAAATATACTTACAAACAAAAAGGGGTTTTAACTGTGTGACTAAACATCACTTTCCCTCTCCAATTAATCAGGTTTTAGTTCAAATCCCATGTTATCTGAAATTACAGACCTATTACTATTTTCCCAATCTTCCAGGAAAGCAGAGTAAACAAGACCCAAATTTTTGACATTAAAAAACAAAAACCAAACACAAAGCCCAACCAATCAACAAGTACAAGACTCAAGCAGAATTTTCCTGAATAAATCTTTCAGGCATAGTTTATACATTGGAATGCAGAAAGAATAGCAGAAGTGCAGTTTCCTTTGTTCTCTTTGCAGTCACCTTGAATTCTTTGTCTCTAAGGCCCTACTAAATTCACAACCATGAAAAATGGGTCACGGACAGTGAAATCTGATGTCCCCTTGTAAAATCTGATATTCTGTGGGTTTTTACTGTATACTATACAGATTTTATGGGGAAGATCAGCATTTATCAAATTCTGAGTCCTGATCCAAAAAGGGAATTGCAAGGTTATTTTAGGGGGAATTGCTGTTTTGCCAGCCTTACTTCTATGCTGCTTTCAGAGCTAGGCAGCCAGACAGTGGCAACTGTTGGCTGGGTGCCTAGCTCCGACAGTAGCACCTCACTAGCAGTAGCACAGAAGTAAGGGTGTCAATACCATACCATGGCATCCTTCTTTCTGCACTGCTGCTGGCTGTGGCTCTGCCTTCAGAGCTGGGCTCCCGGCCAACAGCCACTGCTCTCCAACCGCCCAGCTCTGAAGGCAGTGCTGCGGCCTGCAACAGTGCAGAAGGGTAGCAGTACTGCAAGCTCCCCTACAATAATTTTGTGACTCCCCCTCAACTCAAAACCTCTACAATTACAACACTGAGAAATTTCAGATTTCAATAGCTGAAATCATGAAATGTATTATTTTAAAAATCCTATTACCACGAAATGGAGCAAAACAGACTGTAAATTTGGTAGGGCCCTATTTACATCAAGTTCCACAAGCCAAGACATTTGTCTCAAGGGATAAAAGTGCCTGAACAGGGTTGGATTCACTTTTAGAAGGCTGAACCAGTTCTATAACTTTGCCTTGTACTTCCAGGACCAGAAAGCTAGATCTATGGTAACACTGTTCCTAAAAAATTCCTACAGTTGAGATCAAATATACAGCTCCCCTGGTACTAGTAACTGTAGCAGTGTTAGCACAGACCAAGTGACAGCTCAGAGCAAGGTGCAATATTTCCCCTCGTATCTCCATCCATGTGCAGATTTTTTCCATCCAGGTGTGGAATAGGTTTTTTTATGTGCACCAAAGCATGTGCGAATCTGCATCATCAATAGAACAAAAACCTAGCTGTGGGCGCTCTGCCAATCAGCTGGGAGGCACTGGAATCTGTCCTGAATGGCCTCACAAGCACACAGCTTACAGGGAGTACTAGCCATATGACACAGTGGTTAAATTACCAATAACCAGTATTCCCACCTCAGCAGTTCTGTGCAGGAGTTCACAGCCTTGCGAGAAAACTCTGCATAGACCTGGCCACAGTGAGAAGCACTGAAGAGAAGTTTGCTCAGTCCCACAGTGAGAGGAACACAAGGAAAGTGAGATCATCAATTTCTCAATCAGGCACACTTTTAGTCTCATAAGGAGTGTTGCAAGGCACTCAAGGTATCTCTGGGTCCCACAAGCCTAAGGAGGAATAATAATAATAAAAAAACCCAGCCATAGTCTCCTCTTTGTACAGGGCACAGAATCAAGTCACCAGTCAAGCTTATCTCATTGTAAGGTTCAAAGTAGCACAAAATCTATTCACATATGAAGCTTTCCCATTCTGTGGCAATTCAACAAGGATGTTAACAGAGTACGGTCTACTGTGTTCTGACCAATATTGGCATGTTTAAGATTTCAAGCTGCTTTCTATTCACTGAAGAGTAATACTGAACTTCAAATAAACCACATGCATATTTGTGAGACTTCTTTCCCGGAGCTCAGCCCCTTTGATGCACTCCACAAAACAACACAGCAGTAAATCTGGGTCACACCACTGAAACGGATTATGGACCACAAAAATCACTTGCATTCTGTTTTTTTCCCTAAGGAAGAAGGAACAAACAAACTGGCATCCTATGGTTTCTAGAATCAGAAGCCTCCACCATGAGCTTTTTAAAATAATTAGGTGTGTGCATGCGTGCGTGTATAATAAGAGAAACAGACAAGAAATCCTGAACTACATATTATGCAGAGTCAATAACCAAACTGTAAAATAAAAGTGTCAGTAACCAAACAATTAAGGGGGCACAAAATAACCTATTTCCTCCAACTTGGCCATAAAAAAACCTACATGTGCTCAAACTGCCAGCGGCCCTAATTGAATAGTCAATCTCTTTGCTACCTCCAGTAACATCACCGAACAAGAGGGAACAGTGCTATGCTAAATGGAGAAAGTTTCAAAAGATTTCACAGTTCTCAGTCACCAAGCGGTCTGTGGACATATTTATTACAAGATCAATGAATGAATCGGCTGCTGGCACAGCCATGTGTGAAGTTGGCATTTTCCCAGACGATTTCTAAAGAGAAGGCAAGCATTTGACAGCAGAGTCATGTAATATAAAGTTGACATCAGGGCAGGAATTGAGCAAGAGCTATGGGGAATGCAATTTTCATTAGCATGTTTTTGGATTGGCTTTACAAAGAATGTCAAGTGTCCGTGCTTAGAAATACCCCATATTTAAAGGCACGCTATTCATGGCATCAGGCCGTTCTTGCTAATTCTGTGATTATTCTTCCCTTCAGAGCATGGAGAAGAAGCAGTGACTTTCTGACTGAGTGTGTTGAGATTCTGATTTTTAAATACAAATCACTTCAAAAGCAGCACACATTACAGACAAGAGGCCCCAACACAGTTGTGGAACCACTTCACTTGATTAAGCTAAAGCTGTGTGTACACCAAAATTGAAACAGTATTACCAACAACCATGTTCACAAGTACCTCCACTCTCCAAGACACACATCAGTACAACGCTATTAGTGTAAACTAGGAGTCAGGGAGCATGCTTCTCAGAGTAACAGAATCATCCTCCTGTAGCGAGGAAACTGCAGAACCCTTCTAGCAACACTAGAAAGGTTTTTAAATGCTGGGAAAACTGCTATCAGATGCATGCATCTTCCTGTCACTGCCTCTCCAACTGGACAGGAAATAATTGACTGATTATACCAACAGGGTCAAACTGTTGCCAACACCTAGTGCAGGTGCCAGAATCCCAGAGGAATGGCATATTTTCTTCAAGTAGGTGCACCTGCAGCTAATGCATTAGAAAAGCATCAATTTCCCCACTGCCCATAAGAGGTCTGTAGCACATGCCAGTTGGTTGGCATTAGCTTGCACAAGGGCTTGGAGACACTGTCATCACAGCTCTGGGAGGTTGCAGGGCATGTTAATTCAGACACACATCCAAGCCAAGCCAAAGTAAGCAGGGAGAAGAAAGGTGAATCATTTCTGGGACACTTTTCTTGGGCAAAAAACACACATCACCTTGTACTAACCTAAGTCTCTAGTTCTCAAGGTCAGGGATGGGAAAGAATAATTCTTTGCACTTTTATAGCGCCTTTCATCCGAGGCGCTCATGGCTTTCAACATTAAATCTCAGAGCAGTCCAGTCACAGGACAGAGCCAGAAATTCTGGAATTCTAATTCCAGCCTGCTGACATGATCATCCTTGGAAACAGAGGCAAAGAGGTGAAGCAACTTGCCCATCTGTAAAACGACATTATACAATCCTACCTCATGG